AATCCAAACTGGAAGCTGGTTCCACAGAAGAGGGGCCTGAAAACTGAAGGCTCTCCCTCCCATTCTACTTTTAAATACTCTAGGAACAGCAAGTAGGCCTGCAGAGCGAGAGCGAAGTGCTCTAATAGGGTGATATGGTACTACAAGGTCATTAAGATAAGATGGGGCCTGATTATTTAAGACCTTGTATGTGAGGAGCAGGATTTTGAATTCAATTCTGGATTTAACAGGAAACCAATGAAGGGAAGCCAAAACAGGAGAAATATGCTCTCTCTTTCTAGTCCCTGTCAGGACTCTTGCTGCAGCATTTTGGATTAGCTGAAGGCTTTTCAGTGAGTTTTTTGGACATCCTGATAATAATGAATTACAGTAGTCCAGCCTGGAAGTAATAAATGCATGAACTAGTTTTTCAGCGTCACTCTGAGACAGGATATTTCTAATTTTAGAGATGTTGCACAAATGGAAGAACGCAGTCTTACATATTTGTTTAATATGTGCATTGAAGGACATGTCCTGGTCAAAAATGACTCCAAGGTTCCTCACAGCGTTACTGGAGGCCAAGGTAATGCCATCCAGAGTAAGAATCTGGATATGGAAGTGTGTTTTGCTTGGGGGGTTACCAAGGAATGATAACTGATTTGTAAAAGGCAATATACAAACAATGTGTTAGTGTTTTTTGGACTAAGACAGGCAATACTTCTTCAGCTACTCGACCAGTATATTTTTGATATTTCGATGACCCTTGTTGTATAATTACTATGCTATTGCTAACTGGTAATTAAAGGTAGTCTATATTCTGTCAACAGAATATAGTTGCTGAACGATCATGCCACTAAAGACCCTTACCCTGCCACCCCCCAAAAAGGTGTATTAAAAAAACGTGTGACAAGTGTAAGATGTATAGAATAAAAATGTATAGGAAAGGGGACTTAATTTATATTGGCTTCTCACATGACATCATGTGCACATTTTTCAAAAGCTGTCTGGCATATTAGATCAGATACAACCACTGATCATGGGGGCAAAATGGGGTTCCTGGAGGCTGCTGGCTGTCACTAGGTGAAATCAATTGCAAAGAGGGTGCTGCACCATGAATTGCCTTGTCCTTTGTAGCAGATTGCTGTAGTCACCTATAAATTCCTATGGAAGACACCAATTTGTCTGCAAACACTTAGTAACTACCAGCCAAAGATTATTAAAGCTTTAAAAAATGAGACACAACCCAGAAATAAGAGAATTTGCCTTCAAAGTAAAAGTTGTGTGTTAGCGCTGCAACCAGTGCGTTCCATCTCTTGTTTGTGTTGGAGTTTTCAGTTTCACTCAGACTTGGAAATTATCTGCCAAGTGATTGCAGTGTCTTCCATACAAACTACAAGTGACTACATCAATCTGCTACTGACGAAAGCAGTCACAAAGAGGTGTGTGTGTGTGTTTATTTGTTTGTATCTGAGTTTCACTGAGTATCACTGAGCCTTGGGCTGCCAGTGAGATACTTAAATCTGGCACCCTGAGTCCCAGGAAAGTACAGACAGCCGTTACTCCAATCTGACATCCTGATGGCCAACAGTAAAAATATCCCTCAGCCTTAAACCGTGTTCCCATATAAAGTGATATCCCTTTTGCTGCTGACATCTAGTTGCTACTGGATATTCCAGGCGTGGGTGCTTACGTAACCCTCTGGTATATTTCGCAGCCTGTCACATGTCAGTCAACAGTAGTTCTCACGCCTAGTTTTGCTCACCTCAAAGTTAAATAAGTGATAAGTGCCCATTTCGCATCACTAGCTATTGTTTGTCCTGTTATTGCTACAAATCCTCAAATTTCACAACAATCTGTTATCTCTGGTTGTCACATCTCCACTGATTTCCTCCTCTATGATATTCATACATTTGCCATGAGGTTCCCCTGCATGATTGGCTTATCCCTCAGTCCATATGTACAGAGAAGGAGTATCATAAGCGCATTATCAGAGCAGCGGGACTTTCAGTCCTCTATCAGTGCGGAAAAGCAGCACTGAGCTGTAGGTCACCTGCTTTTCGTTACGCATTATCAAACAAAAGAAAGTTGTACATTAACACCATGTGCTAGTGCCAACAGATGACAACAAGTACAGACTGTTTAATTATGTTTTGATCAGTGTCTCACACAACGCAGGTGGTCTGAACGCCGTCTGAAGACTGCCCACTGCTATGTTCAGGATCAATCCAAGTTAGCACCATATTGACTCCCTGGAATCTTGATACGCTCCACCATCAGGTGGGGAAACTGTTGTCAGCGACACTGAATCTCCGTCTGTGTTTAAACAGTGACTTTTACATCCTCGGGGTTATTGCTTCTGTTTATCAGCACACAGGAAGATAATAGCCCTTTTGATAGCTGAATAAAAAATAGCAACATTTTTGGTGTTCATCCAATGAGCATTCACCAAAGAGAAGTCAGACTCTCCCTGCAACCAATCTGAAGTCAAAGAGCATTTTGTCAGTTGTCTTCAAAATGTGCCACATTAACTCTATCCCCACCACTCACAGGATATTCCAGCACTAAGTGTTTTTGCATTAAAAGACACCGTAAAAAGCAAAGTTTTCTTTCTGTATCCATATTAGAAGGTGCTTTCAGCTGCTCCCTTATTTCCCAAGGGTTAACCACAGCAAATGAGTCTGCACGTTTAATTTGGCGCATATTTTGCCCTTCCTGATCCATCCACCCATCCATCCATTCGCTTCCGCTTATCCTTTTCAGGGTCGCGGGGGGCGCTGGAGCCTATCCCAGCTGTCATAGGGCGAGAGGCAGGGTACACCCTGGACAGGTCGCCAGTCTGTCGCAGGGCCCCTTCCTGATCCAATCCTCCCATTTATCCAGGCTTAGGACCAGCACTAAGAGTAGCTTGACACCCAGAGGGTAGATTTGTGTCTCCTCCCAGTTCTGAACCGGGGGGAGTTTTCAGACCATGGAGCCACTTCTTTGCATACTCTCTCCATAACAAGAATATGATCATAAATGATGCCAGTGAAAGGTAAATTCAAAACAATACTCTTGTGGGAAATTAAATATCTAAGGATCAGAAAGGGGAAAATGTTTTATAGTGTATATAACTGGGCAAGATATCTTTAACATTTTAATTGTGTGATAGATTTGTAGGCATGTAACACTGTACGAAGGACAGTTAAAGAAAAAATAGAATACGGCATGGCATCATTCTCCTGTTTTGCCAAAGTTGTCCACATTGCACTGGAATTCTCAAACAACAACAATTCAAATGGGGAAGAGGAGCTCAAGTTATATTTTTATTATAGTGTATGCACATATGAGCAGCAATTTAGTTTTTTCTCTTGGACGCCTAAAATTGCAGCATGTAAAAAGTTGATGTCAACATCTCAGGTTGTCAGATTTAAAGAACATTAAAGGGCCAGAAAGGGTAAAACAGCATTTCACAATAGAGAATTTCTAGTTGACAGCATGAGTGCAAAGACTTTTCAAAACTCTGACGGTGGTGCATGTTTAAAAAACAACAACTTGTGTTTGATGTCTTGACTGGATAGGGGGATTTTTAAAAAAGCCCAATCCACTAAACAAATCAGTCTTCTGTGCCCAACAAGTATGTGACAGGTTTCTGGGTTTAGTGCTGCTTGTGTCAGGTCTGAAGAGTTTCCATTATGGAGAGATGAGTTTACTGTTTACTGCATGTGGCACAACTGAACATATTTTCTGTCTTGCTGAATGTGAGACAACCAACCCTTATTAACAAAAACAACACAGCAGAACAGATTCCCATGTAATACAGACATGGCCGCCGTACCACACGCTCAGAGATGTGTGTTGAGGGGGTTATATCTGAAGAGGGGTGCTTATGTTCCTACAATCAGACCCCCACCCACCCCCAAGAAGCTCTTATTGTCCCCACACTATGATAACATGCAGCAGTGATGAGTCCCAGCGTACAGAACTGCCCTAAAATCTCTGAAACGAACCTCTAAAATCTCAAGACGTATACTGACGGCACTGCAGAGAACATAAATAATATGTAGCTGCTGCACAGAACGCTCTGTTACAGTCAATTGCAGGCTCTCTCATCGCTGCCAATCAGGCGGGTTTTCTTTCTGTTTTCTGTTTTTTTTTTTCTTGTGAGATCCGCGGGAGCTGGAAATGAATGCGACGCCTAAACATATAGGCGCGATCGCTCCACATTTACCCTGCAACATGGACATCTGGATTCATTATTGATGCTGTGTTGGTGCTGCTGCATGTGGAAAGGGTGGGTTTGGCGCACGGGGAGTCGTCTACGAAAAACCCATCTCTCTCTCTTTCTAACACACACACACAGATAGAAAAGCACAGACAAACACACACGTATCCCCCCCCCCCCCCCCCCTTTTTTTTTTTTAACAGATACTCGAACCTTAACTTCATGCAGACTGGCCTGTTCACACCCTCTCTAAGAGAAGGAGGCCTTGTTGGGGGACCGGGAAACACGGCCTGAACATGCTTCAGGTGTGCGCTTCCCGCAGTAGCGAGACTGCGATGCTGAGCCAATGCAGCGGCAACACACGCCCCTCCGCTCCGCTTCTCGCTGCCTGCTTGTCAACAGACACACACACAGATTCCCCTCCACGTCGAAGGACACACACACACACACATACGCGCGCATCCGAGTCTCCAACGCCACATAAATGTGCAGTCAACACATCTTGCGTTGTGAAACATGCATCTGGATGGGCAAATGTGCAAACGCACTCGTGTGACACATTTCAATGAAGGTGGGGGTGCGAGCGCGGCCGAGTCTACGACGGGCGCGCGTGCAGCTGTGTTAAAAATTTTATATATATATATATATATATAATTTTTTTTTTTATTTTTTTTTTTGAGGAAGGGACACTAAGAAGCATTAGGGGGCACATGAGGGATGTTAATGTATGGAAACCAAAGCCAAAACGCTCAGGTTTAAATCATGGAGCGATTTCTCCCCATAATATGGGGGTATGCACATGTGTTCGTCTACTTACGCACAGCCTCCTTTTTGGGGTCTAGGGCACTGGCAGTCTGCTGTATCTGGCCTATTTTATTCTGAAGGACCCAGACCCGTTGGTTGGTGCTAATGATGTCGTTTTCCAGCTCCTGAAATAAGGAGCAGGCGTGTCGGGCCAGGTCGGAGAGCTGTCGCAAGGTCCGGGAAAGAACCACATTACTGATGGCACACAGGTCCTCGAAAAGCAGACCATCATCATTGGGGATCGGGTGTCTGCACAGAAGCTGCGGCTCCACAATCCTTTTGGCGAATGGCATTTTGCACGCCAAAGACGATAAGGGTTGTAAGCCAAGCGTAAAATCCCGCTGCCTAGAAGTAAAAGGTAAAAGGGTAAAACGGACAACATCCAAATATATAAATCCACGAGAAGCCCGATGAGGTTCAGGCCGTCTGCGCGTTATCCCCGGGCGTCAATCCAAAGTTCCCAGATTCTCCTTGAGATCCTCCATCCTGCTGCTGGTTTCTGGGGATCATTCACACTCCCGCTCACACACGCACACACATGCACACACATGCAGGACACAGCTAAGCCCAGGTCAGTGGTGTGAGGATGCGTGTTGCGTCTGCGATCATGGGTTGCCTCCGTCCAGCGTCAAATCAGCCAGAGCGAAAAGGAAATGCCGCTGAAAGGTTTCAAAATAAGAATCTGGGACAACGACGGTAATAGAAAATCACTGAAGAGGTGTCGTCAAAATTGATGGTAATTACACAGGATACAGAGGTGGATACGACAAAAAGTGAAAACATGTCTTGCAAAGCCCTGTATTTAAATACACAAAGGTTACTTCATAACCGATCTCCGCGTTTGGAGCTTTTATTTTTTAGGCCTTCCCTTGTTTTTCCGCCCATATTGCGGTAATTCTTCTGGTATTTGATGCAACCTGGCTCCGTGGCCTGAAGTATGTGCAGGCAGAGAAGATGAGGGAGAAGACTGAGGTAAAACCCGGAGATACAGATATGAGTAGATGGGGAATGGTCGTGACAGTCGTGCCTGTCAGCAGACACTGAAAGAGGATAATTCTGAAAAATATTAATGTCTTACTTGGCCTAAATGCAGGTGATCAGGTATGTCTGGGGAAAACAGATCGTTTTCAGCATCCAAAACTTCTTGAAGGGGATGTTCGGAGCTGGGGACACAAGTTGATATAATTTCTAAACTCATTTTAATTAATAGAATTTCCGGTGTACTGACACAATTCTAATTATTCATGAAAACAGCTTTTTCTAATTTTATGAGAACATCTTACAAACTTAAATAACTAATTAAGTATCTATACTGTACTGAGCAAACAGTTTCATTTACATACAGTGTCATTAAACGGGCCAAAAGCAATTCAATAAGGAGAGATCACTTGGAAGAATTGAACTCGATTTATTGAGATAGAGAAATTAATGTATTTGGCAATTAGACTCAGATGACCCATCATGGCAGAGAAGAATCTCAGTGGTGATAGGATTTAGGATCTGACACTGGAGGTGGTGGTAAAATTGAAGCTTGGATGGAGCTCCTCTGACTGAGGTGTGTTCAGCACTTTAGCTGCGTTTGATTTTTAACACAATGTTTCTCACAACTCTCTAAACCCCAAATATAGCTGGAATATAATTGTCTCTTGGTGCCATTAGGTAGTGAACTCCAGCTCACACTGGGGCAGTTGGCAGCTGAGTGTGGAGCGGCTGGGGGGAGAATTAGCACCAGTTCTGAGGCTCTGCCACGTTTGCCTGTGGCCACTGGTGTTAGATGTTGGCAGAAAGAATAAGATTGTGGATGCAAGCTGCGGAAATGAGCTTCCTGTTTGTGAAGAGGCGCTAGAGCTGCTATTCCTGCGGAGCCGGCAGACGTGGTGCATGCGCCTCTGAATTGAGGTGTTTTGGGATATCCTATCACAAGAAGACCTCTGTGCAGAGGTTATACCTCTCAGCTAGTGTGGGACCAGCTTCGTGTCCCCCCAGAATAGCCAAAGGAGGTGGGTGCACCTAGAGAGGTCTGGGTGTCTCTTTGTACACTGCTAGCTTGTGTCTTAAATTAGTATCAAACTATATTTCCCATTAAACAAAGAACATGGTGTTTTGTTATGTCATTGTAATCTGGAGTTGTTGTTAAGTTACAGTTAAGCTTTGTTTTTCTGATACCCGCCCCCCAAGAAAAAAATGCATGCAAAGACTGAAAACCACAATTATAGATGATGTGGACATAGTAGGTAATGAATATAAACTCACAAACTACAAAATTAAATTGTGTGACCATATTTGCAATGCACACGTCACTGCACAGTATCTTCTCATGATGCACTGAGGCTCCAAATTCATAAACTGTTAACCCTGTACACCTCACCAAAAAGTTTAACTACAGCAGATCCTCTGTCAACCTATTTCTTTTTCCTTTTTTCTTTTTTTGCTGAATTTCTGTTTCCAGGATGCTAAGCCTGCCCGTTGTCTGTTTCATTCACAGTGATTAGCCTATAGCCTCTAGGCTCAGTCTGTATATGGACGTGTGCAGTAAACTTGCTGTTGCTGCAAATTTGAGGCAGTGCAGATTAACAGGAACCTGTCACGGGCCTCTCTCTCCGAACTGCCAAGAAGACAAGAATGCTACAATTGTTCCCTATACAGTTATGCATTATATCCTTTATTATTATTTATAATGAGACAGGATTTGTCATGGCGACCAATTCAATCAATTAGACATTTGAGAAGTATTAAGACAGGGATATGTGTGAGCAACACGTTCTCACTCCCAACTTGTCAAATGTGTGACGCATGGTCAGGCTCCCTCTGCTTCACTTATCGACGCGCAGGGTCCTCTCATTGAATACTATAGAGCTCCCTTAACGTTGCTTATTGACGACAAGAGATTGCCGCGGAAGAGCCTGTTGTCTGTATATTTATATATTTCCGAAATCACATTGTAGTGACGTATACTGAACACAATAAATTATATAATGTAAACGACTACCTGAAAAACAGGTAGAACGATACTTTTGTATCGTTTATTGCATTTATGGAGGGAGTGATGTATGCTGGGTAATGGCACAGCTAGCTACTGGGTGACTTTATTCACCCGCTTCAGCTGTTATCAGTCCATACAATGGGCGTTATTAGCACAAATCAGTCCCATAGATTTGGGCCATCTCCTGCTAGATTGTTCAGAAGGTTGTTCTCATCCATCCAGATGGAGGATCACTAACAGGAGCGTGGGAAGACTCCGGAATCCACTCTGGCTGGAATCCGGTGGATACAGCAGTGTGTACAGGTAAGACCATTTAAAAGTCAGCGAGTGTCAGTAATGTTAATGTGGTTATGTTAGTAATACACCGAGTGCTAATATAACAGCTTTAAGATGCATTTGTAGATATTATTACGTGTTTTACCGTCTTTATGGTGCTAGCTTAAAGTTACGGTGTAAACGTTAGCTTATATTGTAGTAAAGCTGTTACTGTTTAAACGATGTTAGCACAGAAATATTAGCTTCTGTCATGACTGATGAAGTTACTAGTTAATAAAGTTTTCAGTAAAGTGTTTAATCGCAGCCACAGACTGACAGCAAATATCTCGATTAGCTTCAGTGCATCTGTAATAAATATGTGCAAGTTTCAGTGCTTCGTTTAAACTGTATGATACTTATACTGACCCAGGGTCAGTGTAAAATACAATTCTAGCTGTGTGAACAAAGCCTGGCTCCTTTAATCCTGCATGACAAACCTCAGGATGCAGGTTATTATTACTCTTTCCTGCTGTCACACCTGAGAGTCAGCTAGAAACTTAGAGTGACGTGGACATCATGCAAAGACTGCCAGACTCTGTAATACTGCAAATGATCAGTGACTCATGTTATCACTAAACTTTAAACGGTACCTCTGTGTGCTGAACATCTAGGATTGAGTCAGGCTGCATTGACTGTGGGACTTTAATGTGTTAAAAGCAGGTTGAAGACGGCTCAGAAACATTTGAAGATTAAAATTTAGCATTATGGCTGCTGGTGGTTTGTAAAGCCTCTACTCAGCTGTATTTTTGTTACTAATTTATGTTTGTTATTGTTTAACAGATTTCAGAAGAGCAAATATGCTTAATAGTTTAACTAGATTTCATTTGTCAGTGTGGGACTGCTGAGTCACCTGAAGAACTCATTTCATTCATTCTCCACATGATGTTCATTTACAGAAATGTTTCACAGGAACTGATTCCTCCCAAATGGTGAACTAGTGTGTTTCCATAGATTACCTCTGTATGAATGTACTTCTTAAATGAAGGCAAGTGTTTATCCTTTTTTGTTCCTCAGGTACAGTACGCGATATCAAGGGCAGGCGGTCAACACTGGGGGAAGACAAGAAGCAGATGTACTTCCAAAGAGGGAGCTGCAGTGAGGACACAGCCAGGTCACTGAGGTCAGAGGTCAGAATCTGAAACAGCTCAGGTTTATATTTTAGGTGTTATAAAAAATCAAAATGTATTTATAAAGAAACCTTTAAATAATAGTCATAATTATGATTATTATAAGAAATATCAAACATGTAAGTGGATTTTCTGTTACACATATTGTCTTAGCCCTGCAATAAACTGGCAGCCTGTCTTTGTCCTGTATCAGCTGGGATAGGCTTCATCCTCCCGCAACCCTGAATTGGATACATTGTATTCCAATTATGTAATCTGATCATTTACAAACTCAAGGTATCTAATCAAAATGTAAGTAATAATTATAAAATGGGAAAGCAGAAATAAGTGTGACATAAATGTAAATGTGTGAGCTGACATAGAGGACAGCTACATGTTGTCTGAAAAACCTTTTGTAAGAGCCAAAGTCAATGTTTATGTTTTTCCTTTTTGTTTTGGTGGCACAGGTGTATAGCTTTACCTGCATCTCAGGTGATGGTATGTGGGTGTGGTCACAGTCTATTTACCTGATGTCGGTGTTCGCAGCAGGTGTGTTGGGTGAGTGGTTTGTGGGCAAACTTTTCTGTTGAGCGTCCTTTTTTGGCACACCAGTTAATCCATGCGCTAGTTGTAAATTGATTGAAAGCGCAAATGTTTGTTTTTGTTTTGTTCTTAAAATAAATGCGCAAAGTACAAGTACGACCCATTATGGATTATTGGAGGCGCGTCACATGGACACAACCAACTCAGCCGGCCGCGGCTTTATTTACGGACGAAAGTCGCAACACCTTTGTTGTCAAGTTTGCAGGTATATCAGCACGAGACAGTCTTACATAGAAGAGACTGTTAAAGTCTCTAACTCAATGAAGCATTATTGGTCCCGTCTGTTTGGATAAATATAGTAAGTTGATGTATGTCCATTTATTGACACATTTTCTTAAGTGCTTATCCAGTTCAGGATCACAGTGGAGCTGCAGCTGGATGTGTTCACTAAATAAACCTTACAAAAGTTAACAATAAACCTGCATCCATGTACGTTGTTGTCCACAGGATGAGAAAATCAAACTGGAAGACGGTGGAACATGTTAATAAATGTTTGTGTGTTTATGCCTGTGATAAAAAATAGAAAGCTCTGTCTCTCTTTATTCTGAGATTTAACTAATTCAAAAGATATTGCAATATTTATTTATCCAAAACAAAACAAGTTCACTCTAAATTGATGTTGTACAGTAAAAAAATGTTCTTGTGTTTTCCATGAAGTGTATGTAAATATCTGGTTTCAACTGTGAATATACTGCTGTGTATTGAAGTTCCTCTTGTTTTGCATAGAAATATACTGAACAACATACAAAGCATAATATATAAAATACTACCTGAGTTTTTTCTTTGAAAGCCCCTTATGTCCATTCTTGTATATCAGTGCATTACTGAAACCGGTTTATTTAGCCGTGGAGGGCAACAACTGAAAATATGAAATAAACACACGTGTAAGCTAAGACTCTCTAAAGAAACAGCATTGTTGTTGTTCGGCTTTCCATTTCGCCATTTGTTGCTCGGTTTCTGGAGTCTCCTGGTCCTGTCAGTATTAGTAGGATGCATCTGCTGTGTCTTCTCGTGGATGCTCACCTACCTTGACTCGTTCCAGCCTGGTATGGATTTCCCAACACTGCGGACAGTGGCCCACGTCAGAGACGTTTAATATTGATTACATATGTCTGAATTGCTAACCCTAACCCTAGCTCAACAGACCACAATGCCCTGGACTGTCAGTATTATTACATGCTGTGAACATAAGTAGCTTTGATCACAGTTTATGTTGTAAAAGAGAAGGAATATTGGAAAGAAAGATCAACATTGTGATATTATTTCTTCCAAACTGACCAGAAACATGCTTGTCAGACTCTCACAGCAAAGGATCAGACTCACTGTGCATGACGGCTCAGGCCAATGATGTCTGTTAGATTGTCAGTTGTTTAGTGCTTCTGTACAGTTAGGGTCACCATCTCTATTTCAGAATAATTAATATGCGGAAAACACTAAAAGTTGATTGTCTTCCAATATTCTAGCATAATTAAAAAACTTTGACTTTGTAAGTACATATTATTAGTCCTAATGCCAGTATGATTCTTCATAACTCCTGCTTTGAAATACTGAACTTTAAAATTTACCTGATGAAAGATCATTTACAGTGGCACTCTGTCAGGATAATTCTGACTGTAAGATCACTGTATTAATCTGAATCCTTCTGAAATGTGCTGTGAATGAATGCTGATGCAACTCACTGTGGGAAAGCTGTTAATAAAATGAATCTGTGACACATGCAACACATTCACAGAGGAAGAGGACACAAAGGGAGGACACCCAGAGGCTGTGTTGAAGTCAGAAATCCAAATCTTTAGTCAAAAAACAGGCGGCAGTAACAAACAGGAAGACAAGCAGTCCATCAAACAGTCTACAGGGTCAAACATACAGAGAATTCAAACAGCAGTTTATTCACTGAATTATCATCAATTGCAAAAGAGAAAAACGACGATTTCTAAGGATTATTTTCTTAAATGCAGTTAGAGTGTGGCTGGTAAAGATGGAAACATACAGAATGTAAACTGTGTGAGTTTGGTGAACTTTGTTAGTAACAAATGAGGTTTTAAAAACAAAACAAAACAAAAAACAGACAAAACACAGAAAGAGGCTCTCAGTATTCATTAATAATTAGAAAGAAAAATTCTGGTCGTGGATTTTTACAGTCTTAGTTCCGCTCGCTGTCATCATTATAATCATCATGATCAATGGCGAGGTCCTGAGGTGGGTGGGGCTGTCTCTGGTGATGTCACCATGAAGGAACAGCATCTGGCACGTGTTGCTGAAACATCCCAGTACACTGGTGTAGTTTCCTCTCCAGCTGTTTGACATGTGACACTTGAACATTAAGGGGAAGGAGAAGAAACAGTGTTAGGTCAGGTGACCACATGGTTTCTAAAGTAACTGACAGGAAGTAACCAGGCCGTTAGAAATGGATGGCATGTGTTTAGAGTTACTGGAGTTGGGTAACTCTACTTACCAAAAGCAGAAGCACACAGATGAAGGATCAGATGCTGAATGTTGCAGGAACATGCTCATGTGTGGTGGTCATTCAGTGCTGTTCCGGCAGGTTAGACAGTCCAAGACTGATATCCTGCCCATCTGAGAGTTTGAAAACACACATGCAAAGATTTATTTTGTATTACAGTCAAAGTTGGATGTTCATTTTTGTCCTTTAAAAATGTTTGTGTATTTGAAAGCACTAACATTTAAGGATGACTTGGATCGTCTCCATTAAAGGGGAGACAAGTGTATCCACTGATCTACGTCACTTAAACTGGATGATGACTCCTCTCTCCCTCACTCAGAAACACTCCTAATATAACCAAGCAAATAAATAATATTGAAGATTTACTTTCATCATTACAAAAACGGCAAAAACATCTCCCTTTGATTCTATTTCTCCATTCCTGCTGAACATCAGGCAACAAATATCTCAATAAATCACAGTAAAATGTAAAGTACATGTTTTCTCTGCTTTGTCTAACCTCTGCAGAGCCTCTGTCAAGAAAAACATAACTGTAAGCATAAAACAAATATACATTTCATAACACGTCACTGGACAAACCTCGGTCAGTTGATTTCCTCTGTGCAGTGCAGACGAACATCAGTCAGCAAGTCAAGGTGGTGAGATGGACTTGTGTCCTTTGTGACTCTGCTGGTTCTTCTGAGGAAACACCACCGTCTCTCCACACTGTCACCATCTGTGAGCACAAACTGCTGCTCTGCCAGCATGTAGGAAATCAGATATCACACACACAGGGGTGAAGAAACATTCAACTTTGGATACTTTAGATCTAAACAGATCAAAGTAGCTCTTAGTTTCTGCAATCAGTGAGCAGACAAACAATGATACCATACTGTTTCTGTATGAATACAATATGGTATTTTCTTTATTATTATTATTATTATTATTATTATTATTAATCTCTTTTATTGGGACAGCTGTTGAACATAACAGTAGTATGCCTTTTTACACTTTCTTTGCTGTCACATTTTAACTTATAATTGAAAAATAAAGAAGACAGAAAAAGAAAAGAAAAAACAAAACAAAAAAAAAACCAAACTAGGGTTAGGAGGCAGCAGGGCAGGTAGGTTTACGTAGTACTCAGGGTTGTAACATCATATACAAAATCACACCTCATATGCTTAACATAGTCTGTCCATTTAGACCATATTCCATAGAAGGTATCCCTCTGAAGTTTAAGAGAAAATGACACTTTTTCCATCGTATAGATCTCTTGTACAGAATGTATCCAGTCTTCTATCGTTGGTGGTTCAGGCTTAAGCTATCTTCTCGTAAGAGGCTTTTTTCTTGCGGCCAGAAGGATATACAGGAGTCTTCTGTCGTTGGAATTCAGTTTATCCACTGGTACATTGCACAAAAATATGGTTTCAAAAGTTGAAGGAAAAACAAATGAAAAAACATTTTGTAAATGATTTTGGATTAGAGACCAATACTGGCGAATAACTTTACAGTCCCAAAAGATGTGGAAATGGTTAGCTCCGTCTCCCCCACATCTTCAACATTTATCACCAATTCCTCAATATCTTTGTTGAGCAAGGATAATGAAAAATCTCAATGCTTTTCCAGCAAAATTCACACCAAACATTAGACCCAGTGGGAGCCCACTGTATCTTGCATGCGTGAGCCCAACACTTCTCTGTAATTGACAAATTACCCTCCTTTTCCCACTTCGCTTTAATATACAGAGTGCTGTCGTTTTTACACCGCAGGATGCTGTTATGTAATTTAGAAATAATATTACTTTGCGCTTCAGATTTGGTTAGTAATAAGAATGCCACAATATGGTATTTTCAATACAGGTGTCAAATTAATTTATTAAAACTAATACAAATACATGTATATTTTTTTGATAAGTTAGTTTGCTAAATTATAAGAATAAATTTTTATTTTTTTCCCATTTAACAATTGCAACTGAAAGAAATTAAATATTGAACAAAAATATTTTGTCACATTCTGAGCATGCTCAGCATGCTGAAAGACTTGAAGTTGCTACAGATTTTAAAAAGTGATAATTATAGGGAAAAAACTTCTCTTTTTCATCCGTTTAATCAAACATTTGATGCCTCAGCTGTCTCAGTCCTATAGTGTTCTGCAACTACAACTAACCTGAAGCTTGGATTTGGCTGCAGGTGCCCCTGTACATCCTTCTCAACATGTGGGTACCATTTAATCAGACTTCTTCCTGAGCTTTGCTTCATCAAAGGTGACCAAAGGTGGCATCCCGTGTCACAGTCTTATCATCATCCAGAAGAAACATTTGAAGAAACATCATGGAGAAGAAACATTTACACGCCTCCTGGTTTTGTTTTCTGATCCTGCAAAAAAAACTGAGGACAACAAAGCCCAGAGAACACGAGATACACAATATCCAACATTCAGACTCAACAGCCTCCATAAATGAAGAGCACCAGGTTGGTTCAGTTATAGTAGATAATAATGGATTGGATTGATATAGCGCTTTTCAAGGCACCCAAAGCGCTTTACAATGCCACTATTCATTCACTCTCACATTCACACACTGGTGGAGGCAGCTACGGTAGATATAAGCATACTTCACATTACTGGGTATGAATAATAACGAGGAGGCAAACTTTGAAGATGCAGAGCACGATGTCCCATCATCAGACTGTAAAAAAAAAAAAAAAAAAAAACATCCACCAGGCTTCTTTGTTGCCAAAACTGATGATTCTCCTATCAGGGATCAGTAGCGTGTATTAACCTGTGCTATAAGCAGCAGTCACTGAAATATTACTGTTTCCGATAAGAAATCTAGGACATAAAAGCCAGGGTGGGAGGGATCTCTACAAACTGACTTACCTCTGCAAGTGTGAAGCTCAACAAAAATCTGACTCTCCAGTCACAGACAAACAAAAAACTCCAGCTGGGAGATAGAAAACGCTGTCTGGGTCTTGCTGGATGTTGCTGGTCAGAGTCCACACATTAGAGCGCTTCTTGGTCCCACTGACCCATGTGGACAGCGACTGTGGAGAACTGTTCTGGAAAACAGAAAAGAGAATTAAAATAACAAAAAGCCAAACAGGATTTCCACAAAGACTATCTTGGAATCAGCAATCAAAAAAATCACTGGTTCATATTTCAATTAAATATGAACAGGTTCCTTAAATGTACGCAGTTCAGATCTGATTTAATTTAATTTCCTTCACACAGCACATTTGTCCAGGCTGACAGGTAAACATAGAATTAATCTCAGGTAACATGACTCATAGTAGAGATTCAGTAAGAAAGATTGCTAGCTCTACAGGGAGTGCAGAATTATTAGGCAAGTTGTATTTTTGAGGAATAATTTTATTATTGAACAACAACCATGTTCTCAATGAACCCAAAAAACTCATTAATATCAAAGCTGAATGTTTTTGGAAGTAGTTTTTAGTTTTAGCTATTTTAGGGGGATATCTGTGTGTGCAGGTGACTATTACTGTGCATAATTATTAGGCAACTGAACAAAAAACAAATATATACCCATTTCAATTATTTATTTTTACCAGTGAAACCAATATAACATCTCCACATTCACAAATATATATTTCTGACATTCAAAAACAAATCAGCGACCAATATAGCCACCTTTCTTTGCAAGGACACTCAAAAGCCTGCCATCCATGGATTCTGTCAGTGTTTTGATCTGTTCACCATCAACATTGCGTGCAGCAGCAACCACAGCCTCCCAGACACTGTTCAGAGAGGTGTACTTGTAGCCGCTAAGACTGGTGGACCTAAATCTTCACCACCACGTCTGTATACATACAAGCAGAAAAAGGGGAGTGGGTGGGTCAGCGCTCAGGGCACAGAACTTAGCTGGCTTCAAACACACCATTCATTTTCCATACAAAAACACAGCCACAGTCACAAATACAAGCTAAAATCCCCGTATACAATAAAAATAGTGTTTGCAACCCGCTAAAAACCCTGCCGGCAGAAATAACTATTCACTATTAAAACAAGACTAAAACATGTTTTCCATATGCTAAAATTACCCTCCCACAGTCCCATAATCCCACAGTCCAGCCACAAATGGGCGAGGACAGGAGAGGAACTTCTCTTCCGGGATGGGGAAACTCGCCAGCAACAGACCAGGGAGGAGGCTCCTATCGCAGACCTGTCTCCTCCGGACAGCGCGTCGCCGCACAGTCCCGCCCCACTCCACACCTGAACACGGCCTCCCTCGTCTCACCGTCAGATGCAGGCAGAAGGGCATCCCTGCCCTGTTGTGCATTGCGGCCATCGCCACCCACTGTTGCCGTTCCTGCCGTTAGGACTGGATCGCCGAACGACTCGGGGCGCCCCACAGTCAGGCAGCAGTTCGTTCCACACACGTGCGGGCTTGCACGCGTTCCTTTTTCTCCTGCTCACCCTTCGTGCGTCGCTTCTTTCTTCTTTTGTCTCTGCGCTCACCATCCCCTTTAACAGGTCAACCTGGCGGCTGATAGGCCACCTTGGGGAACGCCCCCACCTCACAGGTGCCTACAATTGTCTGTTTAGTCCACAGTGGGTTAAAGGAACATGGTACAACATTAACACAAATATAAATATGAGGATAAAACCATGCAGTATAAATATCAATAAACAGACATGCAATGTAAATATCACAATAAAATCATGCAAATAAAAACACTATGTACCAACACACAGATTAATAAAACAAAAACACAAATTTCCGCTGTGTGACATACTGTTTTCCCTCCTTGTAAATCTCACATTTGATGATGGACCACAGGTTCTCAATGGGGTTCAGGTGAACAAGGAGGCCATGTCATTAGTTTTTCTTCTTTTATACCCTTTCTTGCCAGCCACGCTGTGGAGTACTTGGACGCGTGTGATGGAGCATTGTCCTGCATGAAAATCATGTTTTTCTTGAAGGATGCAGACTTCTTCCTGTACCACTGCTTGAAGAAGGTGTCTTCCAGAAACTGGCAGTAGGACTGGGAGTTGAGCTTGACTCCATCCTCAACCCGAAAAGGCCCCACAAGCTCATCTTTGATGATACCAGCCCAAACCAGTACTCCACCTCCACCTTGCTGGCGTCTGAGTCGGACTGGAGCTCTCTGCCCTTTACCAATCCAGCCACGGGCCCATCCATCTGGCCCATCAAGACTCACTCTCATTTCATCAGTCCATAAAACCTTAGAAAAACCAGTCTTGAGATATTTCTTGGCCCAGTCTTGACGTTTTAGCTTGTGTGTCTTGTTCAGTGGTGGTCGTCTTTCAGCCTTTCTTACCTTGGCCATGTCTCTGAGTATTGCACACCTTGTGCTTTTGGGCACTCCAGTGATGTTGCAGCTCTGAAATATGGCCAAACTGGTGGCAAGTGGCATCTTGGCAGCTGCATGCTTGACTTTTCTCAGTTCATGGGCAGTTATTTTGCGCCTTGGTTTTTCCACACGCTTCTTGCGACCCTGTTGACTATTTTGAATGAAACGCTTGATTGTTCGATGATCACGCTTCAGAAGCTTTGCAATTTTGAGACTGCTGCATCCCTCTGCAAGATATCTCACTATTTTTGACTTTTCTGAGCCTGTCAAGTCCTTCTTATGACCCATTTTGCCAAAGGAAAGGAAGTTGCCCAATAATTATGCACACCTGATATAGGGTGTTGATGTCATTAGACCACACCCCTTCTCATTACAGAGATGCACATCACCTAATATGCTTAATTGGTAGTAGGCTTTCGAGCCTATACAGCTTGGAGTA